TATGATTTTATAAAATTGACAATATATGTATATATTATGTATGATTCGTATCCGAACTATCCAGATTCGAAATTTTCGAATAGTTATTCGGATTTGAATCATAAAAATTCGAATTCAAATAGTTCGCACATCTCTGGTCATTTAACATAAACATTCCTATTCAAAGATCGTAAAAATGACTCGTATCGGCGCACAAGTATCTCTTAAAAAAAAAAAAAAAAAAAAAAATCTTTCAAATAAAAGACGCTCCTTTCTGCAATCCTCTAAACGTCTAAACGCAAACTGCATACTCAGGCTCGCGAGAGATAGAGGTAGATGCAACTTGCGCAATTATATACGTTCCTCACGGCGCGGCGCGGCGCGTCGCGAAAAACAACGAGTCTTCGATCGAAGCGCAATGTGGCATAATCCGCATGCGGTACATCGAGAAAGAGCTAAAGATCGTCGTGATAGCAAGATGCAGCAGGCTCTCCTCCGCGGTCTATCGCGGGATGTCTCAAGCGTGCTAACGATCGCGATCGCGGGGTGCCGCGGACTCGAGAGAGTAAGATTGGTAGCCGAGCGAAACCGGAAACTGTTGCGGTGCGACGGCGATGGGAGGATGCAACTCGCTCCCGCGAGTGTATTCACGTGTTATTCCCGGCAAAACGGACGAGTCCAGGCGTGTACACGGAAAAAATATAGTTGTCTGTGCATTAGCTTCCGCTGTTTCCACCGACAGCTCTTGTATTTCTCTCTCTCTCTTCCTCTCGTTCTCTCTGGAGCGAACATTTTTCTCCGGGTATACCCTGCCGACTCGTTCGTTGCTGCACCAGCGGCGATCGCGTTTCTCTCCTTCCGGCATCCTTTTCAGCATGGGAAAACGGGAGAAATCGGGAGGCGCGCGATAAACTTGACTAATTACTTATCCGACTCCGCGCGAAAGGCGTCGAGACCGTACCCCTTGATGTCTCTCTTGGCGCGCCCGCGCCGGCTGGCTTTTGGCATTTTAACGCGTCATATGTATCCTCGCACATTGCATGTACCATGTTACCTGAGTTATTTGCAATTTCAAACTTACGCTCGATGTTTGAAACGATACGCAGGTACAATCCGCGATATCTCGTTCCGCCCTATTTCCCCTCCAGCTGCGCGTTCGCTCGTGGAGGTGAGATGCTTTTCGATCGCGTATCTCGTGCGGACGTTGCGCGTGATGTGCAATATGATCCTGGGAAATATATCCCTTCGACTTGTGGAGGTAGCGACGAGACGTGAATGACCCGTGCCGAACCGGGAATCCAGCGGAAAATTTCGCAAGCGCGGTACCCCGATACCCCTCTCGCTAAACCGCAAGATCCTCGGTGGTGTGCAATCATTAGCAGCGATAAGATAACGGAACATTCTCAGGCGGCAGCCGCGCGTCGTACGATAAGGCAACATTCAGGAGCACAATACACATAGACGAGCACAAGAGAGGCACGAATTATCAGATAAAGAGAGAGCGAGAGGATGCGAAGAGGAGGAACGGAGAGAAAGACAGACGCGGGGGTGAAAAGGAGTGCAGCCAAGAATGCCAACAATGTTATATGTATATACATATGGTATATAAAGATTGTGCACAGGATAGGACAAAACATTCAATTAATAATTGTAAACCTTGAGTGGTCGCGCACGGAAGCTTGATTACCGAATAGAGTGCTGTTATATACATAATTATATAAATCCATTATAATTGCCGACTTCGTCGACTACACTTGGCTTTCAGAAATAATTCTACCACGTGCGACCAGTCAAGGTGTGTGATCAATCAAGTGCGTGTACACGTGGCCGTCCTATCGACGGGCACAGCGATAGCATGAGAGAAAGATATATATATAACCATAAATATGGATTAAAAAATACAATCGGCATAAAAGCGCTCATGAATCAACGCAAACGGCCCGCGTAAAAATGAAACGCTCCGGCCAGTTCCCGCATAATCAAATATAAAATATAATATACATATAAGAGCTCTATTTGTATGCTCGCTCGCACCGCGCTAGGCGCGCTTATTTTACGTGCCAAGGTGTCCTTACCCTGAAGATACGATCTCCTGACAAGGTGTCGGGGCTAAATGTCTCCCAAGTCCCGTTCTCTAGTAACGTATCGATCGAAAGGTCGAACTCCCGCGAGCGGTTCCTCGATTTCTGTCGAGAACCAGAGAGGACAGCTTTTAGCCTCAGGACTGTTTCTATCGGGTGGTTCGATTCTTTTTTCTCTCCCCCCCCCCTTCCCGACGACTATACGTATCTGCGCGCTGATCGTTTATCCTCGTTATCCTTCTTCCTGCCGACGGGCACGGACGACGTCGCCCCGACCTCACGTCGTCGTCCCGAGAAAAACTTGAAGCCCATTCAAGTTCCCGACGTAATAAAGCCGCGCGCGAAACTTCGCGGTGCTCTGCACACCCCTTTTAAGTAGAAAGGCCTGACATTTTTGCATAATTACTTTCGCACGTGTTCTCATTTTATCATCGGCGTGATATTGCACCCGGTGTCACATAGGTATGTACATACAGCGATCGCGAAATTATTTAATTTGTGTTTCATGCGCGCGGATGCGAGATTTTTTAATTTTTAGCTTTTTCTGTCAACGAGATTGGTGGGTATTGTTTCGTAATGCAAAGCTAATGCTCTCGTTTTGGAAAATTCGGTCTTCGTTTTGTGTATTTTTCAGGCATCGTGCTGCAAGTAAAAAACGTTTTTCCTCCGTATTTTCCTGTTTTCTCGTAACACGACGCGGATTAAACACATTCCGGATGTGTATAGTATAGCTGTAAACAAATAACATTAATATTTGTGTCGTGTGTGTGCCTGTGTGCGTGTATGTATGTATGTGCACGTGCACGAGGATCGACCGACATAACTGTAATGAAAAGTAGCACATTTTATACGCGCTACTACACCGGTTAAGATGCGATAAGCTTTGCGTTTTTTTTTTAATTATCTCTCTACGCCAATTAGATCTGAAATATAAATTAAAAGGACTTTCTTTTCTCGCTGTTACGTGACGACAAAATCTCGCGGTCGTGCTTAATTGTAAACGCGCTGTATTTAAGTATTGATCTCCCTTGGATCGAAGTCGTAAATTCTCTCGTCTTCAATTAGGTCTGCACCGTTTCAGCGACGCCTCGTAATTTAATTTGCGCCGGCCGACCTCCAGCCGATGCTCGTGTTTGCAGCGGACGTGCGACGTTCACATGGAGGTTCGCCTTCGTATTCACAAAGGTTACGGGAGAAAGAGAGAGCGATAGAGAAAGATGAGAGAGATCGAAAGAGATGGAAGAGAGAAATAGGATGACGGTTGTGCCGGGGATCCTCGTGCTAGGGTTCATAAGCTAAATCTACCCTTTCTACGCGACGATACCTCTCTCCACCCCTCGGTGATGGATTACTTTGATCATTGAGAAGATACATTGAAAACAGAAGGCTTTGATGGGAAAACGACAACGACAAGCGAGGGAGGAGGGAAAATAGGAAAAGTCGCAAGCAGTCTGCTCCATGGTATAATGTATAATATATCAGGCTAGATCTCTTTTTTGTTTTTATGGCCCGACAGCGTGACGCTCTTGTGAATTGTGCGTTGTGGAATACTCGCGAATTCCGGGCCAAGTTACGGGCCGCGCGTCGACGACCAACAACGTGAGACATGAATAGAATTTTACACGCTCATGTAGCGAGACGATTCGTCGTCCGCAATGCGAATTAAAACAATTTAACGCGCGGTATGTACAGCGAGATGCTACAAAGGTAGGCGCTTTTTACACACACGGGGACGACAACGGAGAAAGCAGGATCGTACGGGGAGAGATTTGGGTCGCTCGCCGTTCGCGACCGCCTTTGTTCTCTGTGTCCCTTGTCCATTCGCCGGCGGTGGAAATGTATTTACAAGAAACACGGATGAATGGAAAGCCCATCGGGAAGAGCGCGGTGTGATGCGATGTGCACGGTGAAACTCAAAGAAATTTCTACCTGGAAGAGCGGCTTGTCGGTCGCCGGCGACGCTGGAATCTGGACCGTGTAGAACTTCTGCTCGAATTCCGGACCGTGGTCATTAATGTCCGCTACCTCGATGACGACTCTCGTAGTCGACGACAAAGGTGGCCTGCCGTTATCTCTCACTGTCACCTGAAAGCACGAGATCACCCCCACAATTACAGTAATAGAATAATTTAATATATCACCAAACATATTATATTACACGTTACGTTTAGAACCGCGACACAATCGTTCAAAGATACATGTGAAATAATACAAATATATTAGATGTAAATTTTATTGTAGAGTATACTTTACAGAATTACATTAACATATAACTGTGTATTAAAACTAAAAGATATTAATAAATACTGAAATAAAAAAATGTAAAGCAGTAAGAAAGATTGACTGATGATTGATGAATTATGTAAAACCGTTGTACCGTTGAATTTAAAATTTTATTTTTATGATAATCACATTTCGATAATATAAAGAAAAATATACGGTTATAATAATCCTATAAATATGAAAATGTTATTAATTACAAAATATTATAAATATCGCTATGTGAGAGAAAAAAAAGGGAGAGAGAGAGTTATGTTAGCGGATTTAGCAATATTTGAATATTGAAAAGCCACCAACGGTAATTTCAGCGAATAAACGAGTTAATACGAATTCTGATTAATTTATGGTTAAATTAACACAGATACTGAGTTATCAACAAATCAAATCACAGCATCAACATATCGTTGATTCGATTTATTACTATCTCTCGTAATGAAAGCATGCAATCGGTTTTACTACGCAAATTTCAATTTCTCTCTCTTTCTCATCGAGGCATTTATTAATATACAAATTGTGCTCTCATTTTCTCTTTCCGCGTGATGTTGCGCGATAAATATCTGGTGTATTCAAATTCCGCAACTACAACGTAGTTATGCGTACGCGCATAAATTAATATTCTCGTTCGATTGTTCGGGAAAACGCGCGAAACACGTGCGCAAATACACTTTCCCTCGGTTTCCTTCGCGCCATCGGTTATTAGCCAGAAAAATGGGAAAAGGGCGAAAGAAAAGTGCATTAGGAAGAAGTCCAAGAGGTATTCCTCCACGTAGTCGTAATGCGATAGCTTCCTAGATTTTCTCTCCGCCGGTACGACTTTTCGTACGGCCGTACCCCTTTTTCTCGCGCTTACTGCAGTCGTTGTCTTATCGCTCACGTTTCTCCTCCGTCCTACGAAAATCCTGGACTTTCATGCGCGAATATCGCACGTACGATCTGGGCAGTCGGCTGTGCTGACCGGAAGAGAGGAACTTCGGGTCGTAAAACCAAGTGTCCCCCTCCTCCGCATCCGAGACGACGTCGCAAATCCGAGATTCCGGCCTTCGTACTCGCATCGCGCCGCGAGAATCGCGTGAACGGAGATTGAAATCCGCATAATTTTTACGATTTCAAATTTAGATGCTGGGTCATTTTTACATGTGACCGGAACATGACCTTTTTAAAAAAGAGTTGCTTCTTTAATCTCAACAGATATAAGCGCCGAGATAAACATGTTTCTACAGTGAACGTCAGAACATGTGCCACCGACATCAGATGGACTTATAATTAAACTTGGTAAATAAGTTGTGCAGAGATACCTAGGCGTTTGCTCATCGTTCGCGTCAATTTCAGTCACAAGATTTAATTTGCGTCTCCACGAAAGTCGCACGTCTGATAATAGCCGGCCACATTCTCGATTACTTTTTTTACCTCCTATATAAATCTCCTATAAATCTTGGCTGTCCCAGTTTCGTAAGAAAAACGCTCCCTATTCCATTCCGCGCTCAATTCTATAGATAGATCCGTTTCCTAGAGAGCGGCCCTTTGCGCGGACCAGTAACGAAGCATGTGACTCATCGCGACGAGCGCTCTATTACGAGACTGGTCGGGCGATCTGTCCATCCGTCCGGCGGAAGAGCCGCCGGGTAGACTGATGAGAGAGCAGACCGGTTACGAAATTCTCCGTCTCGGGTCCCCGCCGTTCGTCCCGACGTTCCCATCGTCGTTCTTCGGCGCAATAATCGGTCCTCTCACGAAGCAATTTCCGCCCGAGAGAGAGAAAGAGAGGGAGAGAGAGAGAGAGAGAGAGAGAACGGAGGAAAGGCTGCGGAGAGACCGCGACGTAAATCCAATGTCCCCCGGGACATCTCGCGAGAGAGACTATGCGCGTCAGATCCTCCGAGGTAACACCTGCACTAAATTAGGAGTACGAAACTCCGTTTTATACACCGGACGTCGGGGCTGGTTACCGGGACACTCTCATCTGCGAAACGACGACGCGAAACACTTCCGGATTTCCCTCCGTATACGTATTCGCGTCGGCCACGCGCTTATCCGCAATGGCACTGTCACATTTCTATACAGAACGATCCGAATTCATTAAATTAAATAAAGCACACCTGCATGGGGGGCCTTTTAGTCTGCATTTTCTGTTTGGTTCATTCAATTTGTTCATTCATTTGTTTAAAATAAAATATATAATGCACATAACATGTATTATTAACTTTATTTTCCCTGCAATAGCTCCCAATGTGAATAAACGAACGCAGACTAATACTCTCCTCTGCCTCGGAACGAGAAAATCGGTTATGAAATCCGGGAACAGCTTTATGAAATATGATGCAAGAACAGCTTGTTTTCCGAGTCATCATAGTGTAATTTTTCCATTATTTTGACTTTAATTACGCGAAAATCACATGTGCGTCCCATTTAATGAATTTGGAGAGCACATCAGCACCGGGAGTCTGCCATGTCGCGTTCGTTCCTTCGAGGCTATATAAATTTCATCACAGTCATCTTCTCGTATCTTCAAGGCGGAGGAATATATTAAGTGTCCCATTTCTGGAGCACCCTGTACAAGATGAACATGGGCTCTTACACCGTGGTAGATTTAAACGCTTGGCCGATCGCGCTAAATCCGTCCGAGCGTCGTCGTATCTCGCCCGAAGGTGTCTCGCAAGTTTCCCCCCTCTCTTCGCACTCTCCTCAAGCACTCGCAATTTTATCATTTCAGTCGGAGCGCTCGCGCGCTTTGGGCTACCGGGACGGTTTAATATCGGTATGCAATCTATGTAAACCATGCACGAAAGGGTTGGCGAGATTCCGAGAACGCGAGTCAACTCAGCAAACATGCGAATTCTAAGTAAAGATCATTATCCCGCTGCGTACTAAATACGTCTTCTTTCTTCTTTACATTCGACCTACGCGTTGACGACAACTTCCATCGGGTTTCTCATCTCAACATATCGTCATTGATAGTCATTGCACAATATTCGAATATTTTTCGAGAGATTGCATGGTATGGTCGAAACTATCAAACTTTCTACTAACAAAAAATTCATTTCTACTTTGAAATTAATTATTATAAAATTTTATGCGGCATACTGCATAATTCGGATACCGGGTCTATGTAAGTTCTTTGATACATCTAGAACTTTTTTTCTTACCGAAAACATCAAGGAAAAATATTACTTATCTCAATTTTATTCTTAATTTTCAACATTAAATATCTATGTAACGCTGCTCCTTAACTCACAAATCTATCTAAAGTAAAATACATTTGATATTAAACGAAGATGAAGGTTTTTGCTATTCTGCAAAAAACCTGCCATTTTCAATTAGTTAAGAAGACGATCCTTTTCAGCCTTTGACCAATCCTTTAACCAATATTGATCAAAGGATTCGTAAGTAAAATGTAGTTCTGAAGTAATACTATAAGAGGTGCAAAAGTTTAATTAATCTAAAAGAAAAAGTATTGCCCCTTCCTTCCCTTAACAGAATTTCACCATTAACGCGAGTATGTCGGAAGACGAAAGATGTGCAGTTTTCCATCGTGACAGTTTTCGCGCGTCAGTGATCGAGCCGCATTATTTCCCCGACTCAAACAGGTCTCGGTTGAGTATAGCGAGTGACAAAACCGTTGGATTTTTCGAATAACTTGGCGACGTTTCCCCGACGAGAAGTTCATCCCGCTACGAAGCTCCAGCTCTAGAGAGGATCTCGCGTTTTCCTTCGTGATCGGGGGTAATAGCCATGCTTTGCCCGAGCAGTTCTTCAGAGCATCTTCCCGTTTCGTCGCCTCCTCCCTCGCTCCTCTTTCGCTCGGCTCTCCGTAATTACCTCGACGGCCTCTGGTGATTTCTCCGGGCTTAACCCCCGCGTTTGCGGCTAAATTCAAGGAACTCGCCACTAGTTACGGGGCATCCGAGGCACCGCCGTGACAGTCGCTATAATAAACTCGGAACTGAAAACGTGAAATGCCGCGCGCGGTTTCGCAAAGTAGCTCTTCTCCGTATAGGAGTTGCTCTTCTCGTTATTACCTCGCATAGTGATTGTCGACTGGATCGATCGACTACCGCGTGTTTCGGTTTACGTGAGAAATCATTCGGCGAAAGTTTCGCGAATTTTATAGCGACGATATTTCCTTGACGTCTTCCGGTCAAGGCGATTCTTTTACATCGAAAAGGCGTCCCAACCTCGATAAGTTCCATCGTCATTGGAACATTACCGTCGAGCGACGGATTGGAGATTCGCGGAAGAATCAGCACCGGCGACGGCGAAAAAGCTGATTCGTAGACGACGTAAAATAATTACGTACCTTGCGCCTCTCGAAACGTCCTCCGTCTCGAAAGCCGCGCGTTGACTTTTACGGCTCTTTTCGGGGCAGGAATAAGCACGTACTAATCGCTCGGCGTATATCCTAACGGCATTGAGGATAGCATTATTCTCAGCCTCCACATTGTCGTCCGTCAGAAAATCGAAATGTTCACCCGCGAAATCGGACACGCGGCAATAATAAAATGAACGAACGGGATTTAATAATCTTATTCTGCTTGCATAAAAGCAAAATTCCGGCTTAAACCGATTCATTGTAATAACGGGACGGTGAAAAGCACAATGGGAAATACGGGCTTATTTCGAGAATATCGAAATATTCTCGGATCCACCTAAAGCTCGACATTAATAATGATCGGGGTCCGTATCCGCGGGAAATTTCTCCTTATGGTCTCTCGCGTTACCTGGTCGGAATAAACCCGCGTCGACCCGCCGCTAATTTCGCGCCGTAATAAATTTGCGTTTCCGGAACCGCAGGCTTCCTCTGTGAAGGT